AATCGACAATTTCAAACAGCGGGAGCTGTGTTTGGCCTGGTAGGCTAGTATATTTCAGCAGCAAGCATTAATCCCTGTGAGGTGTTTAAAATGTTATATTTGGCATCACTCCACATGGCGCGTGCTAAGAAGCCGCACACAGTTGGCGTAGCATTGTTATTACCAGCTACCAAAGACATCGTCAAAGAGTTATTTGGAGAGGAAGCGGCACGAAAGGTAGATTGTGTGCCTTTGTCAGACAACACAGTAAGCAGACGCATACGTTCAATGTCAATATTTAGCAGTTTTCCATAAAAACAAGACAGGGAAAAAAAAACTACAGAAACTACAAATGTTACAAATATCAAGGTTTAACTTTTCATCTACCACTGCCTCATTTAGAAAAGCTATCTTTTTCAGTTAAAGTAAATATTTCATCGTATTTAATGAAAAAATAGTGAGTTTCCAGCTAATAAAATAAATTGTTTTAAAAACAATACCATTTTGCATGCCTGTGAAATACGAACTGGTGTCTTTAAGTTATACAGAATTTTAGTTTACATATTTATACTTGAAATATATAAGTGCTTTTAAACTTTAGGCAAAGGGGTCCCCTGCAAGAAATTATCTTATTTGGGGGTCCCTGAGATTAAAAAGTTTGAAAACCCCTGCTATAGAGAACGATCGCTGGTTATCGTGACAATAATACTATGTAGGCAGATTTATACACAGTTTTAAAGCTTATAGAACAACAGTAAGGCAAAACAGATGCATTTCCCACATAAAAACGCTCCAAAAGGCTCATAGGTCTGTGTGTTTTTGCGTATTTATTTGTTTATAATATATAGCGTGGATTATAATATAATAAACAGACAGATTAACTCTTTGTCATGGACATTATTTCTAAAAATAAGCTTGATAAGTTGTCTGTAGCAGGGTCGGCCTGACGTCATTGACGAGCGCCCCGAGGGCTCTGTAGTCTGTTTATAGCCTAATGTTAGCTCTTCAGTTCTTGCCTTTACATTTAAGATCCAAAAATGCTCAGATTTGTATTTTGGTGTGAGGATTATCCGACTGGACAAAACGTGTAAGTGTAATGAACAGTGTTTAAACACAGAGCTTATTATTTGCAATCTTCGAAAAGCCTATAGGAAAATCCCATAGGGATTTTCACAAGGGAACCATTTTAATGCTAGCAGCCCATTAGCCTACAAAGGGACGTCATAGTTCCTCCACTCTGTTGCTGGGCCCTGCTGTTGCAATGGAACGATCTATTGAGCGTCGCCTCTTGGTCATTCTAAGCTCTTTGGCCAAAGAGTCTAATATAAACATTATTTCAAAATTGTCCATATTTGAGCCAATGTTGGGTTAAAACAATCAAACGTTTTATAGTGAACTGATCAACTCAACCCATTCTGAAAACGCAGACCCGTGGACATTTCTGGAGACAGCGAAATACTTCCCGGGAGGTACGTATAGCTGCATTTCATTTTTTTAAGCGAACGCTACGGGGCGGTGTGACGGCGTTCCCTTTCGCGCTTGCCGACTGACCGCTTACCTCCGTGTGGAGGGCTTTCCTGCCGCAATCAGCTCATCGTGTGCGTCGGTGGACTTCATATGCAGAGAGGAGGAGTTGACAAAGGCGTCCGGGTTCGAGTCCGGGTAAGAGCGGTTTCAGAAACCAGGTAAGACAAAAACAGAATCCAAAAAATAAAGCGAACGAGTTCATAACAGGGTGAGAACGCGGTGAATCCGAAAAACAGACGAGGGTTTTTCTTTTTCTAGACGGCTTTTCTAAATTGTTGAAGGGAAGGAGGAGGGTGGGTCAGCCGATTGGCTGGTCGTGCAGTCAATCATTCGGTCAGTCAGACAGCGGCCTCTGGTGAGTTGACGCGAGAACAGCGTGGGCGCTCGCGAGAGATGTTCGAGATACGAAAAAGCCTCTTACGGATTCGCGAAAACAAAAACTGCACAAATACGTACCTCCTGGGACGTATTTTCGCGGTCTCCAGAAACGTCCGCCGGACTACGTTTTCAGAATGAGCCTGGGTTGGATCAACTTCAATAAATACTGTAGTACACTCTTAAAAATGCTGGGTTGTTTTAACTCAACATTGGGTCAAATATGGACACCCTGGTAAATCTAGTTTAATTTGAAAGTGCTGTTGCACTCCTGCTTAGACCTGATCTGCATTCTGTTGCCTTGTGCATGTGTAATAGCATTGAAGTTGAATCTAATCTAAAGTAATCTAATATTTCCTGCCAGTTTTATAGTAAATCTACTGTAAAATACTACAGTTTTATATATATATGAGTCTATGAGTGTGAATGTTCAGAAGATGCAGCTTGACTGTGTTTATCCTCGGTGTCGGATCATGTGAGATGTGTGCTGACAACTGAAGAGAGAAGAGCTCATGTTTCTGCTCCACGCTGCTCATCACCAGCAGACAGTGATTCACACTGATAATACACACCCCGTTTATTCACAGCTGAGAACTAGACTCATGATTTGACCACAAGCCTGATGAGTTCTCATTTCAGAACTACATTTCAAGCATTCCCCATTCATTCTCTTTAAACTGGAATCATACACAACAAATGTGTCATTTAAATAGCCGATCACCTGAGCCCAATCCAATAGAGAAAACAGAATAAAGTTTAGATTTGATAGACGAGACCCACAGAAGCATCATATACATTTAGTCATTCAGCAGACTCTTTTATCCAAAGCGACTTACAAATGAGGACAAGGAAGCAATTTACACAACTATAAGAGCAACAGTGAAGAAGTGCTGTAGGCAAATTTCAGGTGTGTAAAGTGTAAGAAGCAAAACATTAGTAATTTATTTATTTATTTTTGTAATACAGTTAGCGGTAGAACCAGAGAGGCAATTGCAGATTAGGAAGTGAAGTGGAGACTAAATAGTTGAGTTTTTAATGGTTTCTTGAAGACAGCGAGTGACTCTGCTGTTCTGATGCAGTTCGGGAGTTCATTCCACCAACTGGGCAGATTGAGCGCGAGAGTTCGGGAAAGTGATTTCTTCCCTCTTTGGGATGGAACCACGAGGCGACGTTCATTCACAGAACGCAAGTTTCTGGAGGGCACATAGATCTGCAGAAGTGAGAGCAGATAAGAAGGAGCAAAGCCAGAAGTCGCTTTGTAAGCAAACATCAGAGCTTTGAATTTGATGCGAGCAGCAACTGGCAGCCAGTGCAAACGGACTAGCAGTGGAGTGACATGTGCTCTTTTAGCTTCATTAAAGACCACTCGTGCTGCTGCGTTCTGAAGCAGCTGAAGAGGTTTGATAGAGTTAGCTGGAAGCCTGGCTAGTAGAGAGTTGCAATAGTCCAGTCTGGAGAGAACAAGAGCTTGAACAAGGAGTTGAGCTGCATGTTTAGATAAGAAGGGTCGGACCTTTCTGACGTTATAGAGTGTGAATCTGCAAGATCGAGCAGTTCTAGAGATGTGCTCAGAGAAGTTTAGTTGGTCATCAATCGTTACTCCAAGGCTTTTCACCATTTTGGAGTAATGGTTGCCCCGTCCATCTGGATTGAAAAGTTATGATGTAGAGTCGGGTTGGCAGAAACTTCAAGCATTTCCTTTTTCATGAGGTTAAGCTGAAGATGATGATCTCATCAGGATTTGGTCACTCAAGTCTGTGAGAAACTCACACCTGAGCACTGCATGAGCTTCATTCTCCATATGAGAGGCGTCTTTCAGCAGCAGCACCACAACAGCCTTTATATAAAGTACTGAACAGGTTTCAGTAGTTCAGCACTTTCTCCTTCTGTCAGTCCATTCTTATCACACACACTGGGCCGGCGCGTCCATAGAGGCGACCTAGGCGGCTGCCTAGGGCGGCAGTATAGAGAGGGCGGCGTCCGCGACACCTCCCTCACCACCCGCGTCCTCAGTTATGTCCGCGACACCTCCCTCACCACCCGCGTCCTCAGTTATGTCCGCGACACCTCCCTCACCACCCGCGTCCTCAGATATATTCGCGCATAGATGACAGAATAGAGAGGGTGGCGTCAGCGACACCTCTATCAGCACCCGCGCGGCCTCAGTTATATCCGCGCATAGGGCGGCAGAATAGAGAGCGCAGTGTCCGTGACACCTGCCTCCCTCAGCACCCGTGCGTCCTCAGTTATATCCGCACAGAGTGTGCTGGAATAGAGGTCCGCGACACCTCACTTCATTTTTATAACCGGTCACTTTCGTTTTCACATTGGGGTTGAGGGCGGCGTGATCGTCCTCTGCCTAGAGTGGCAGTTTAGCTTGCTCCGGCCCTGCTCACACAACATATTTTCTGTTTAGTTTTATTTGTATGTTTGTATTTTTTGGGTTTTTCCCAAAGTCTGCTTCAGTTTCATGTCAGCAGCTCCTTTAGAGATATTATTCCCAGGAACAAACATGACTGTGTTCAGCACCTTTCTCATAGACTTCAACAGAGTTTCTAAATCCTGATGCTTCTGTGGGTCTCGTCTAGCAAATCTGAGCTTTATCCTGTTTTCTCTATTGGATTCGGTTCAGGTGATTGGCTGGGCCATTCTACAGCTTGATTTCCTTTCTCTGAAAGCATCTGAGAGTCTCCTCGGCTGTGTTTTGGGTCATTGTCTTGCTAAAATGGTTTGATCTTCATCCTCGTGCTGATGTAGATGTTGGACTCAAGCAGCTGATCTTCATTTACACTGAGGCAGGGAACAGGGTTACTGAAGAGATTTCAGCTGCTGTGCGTGCGTGCGTGTATGTGTGTGTGTTCTGTGCGCCTGTGTATTTATAAACAGTTGAAGTTGATATATATACAGTTGAAGTCAGAATTATTAGCCCCCCTTTGATTTTTTTTCTTATATATATATATATATATATATATATATAATTTGAAATGTGCTTCTATTTTACTGTTGTATTTCTTTCTGATATATCAGAAACTTCCCCACTGTGTGACGAATACTGCTATATCTGTAATCTAATCTGATGGATCTAAATTGATTTGTCTGTGTATTTGTTTTCTTGACAGTTTTGCTCGAGCTGAATGGCAGGGTTGCCATAGTGACAGACGGTGCCAAAGAGCTGAGTCAAGAGACGGTCAAGCAGCTGACCAATCTGGGAATTCAGGTCATAACTGGTAAAGTATAAATATATATTAAGTGTTTACTCATTTATCATCATAATAAAACCTACTTCATTGCTCTGCAGAAGTCACAAACCTCAGAAAATGATATTAGATTCCTCAAATGAGCTCACGGCGTCTCTGGCTGTGATTTATGAGCAAAGGCATTCCAAGAATGCGTGCTGTCACTGGGGTGGGACCTTTTCAAAAGGTACAAATTTGTACCTAAAGGGTCCACAATAATACCAAGGGTACATATCAAGGGTACATATTATTACCTAAAAAGTTCAAAAGTGTTCCTTTTAATATTTTTAGGTACTAATACATTTTTTTGACGTACAAATATGTACCCTTCAAGTACAAATTTTGAAAACCACCCCAGTGACAGCACATGTATTTCTGAGAGTCTATAATGCAGCATGAGCATTATTTAAAATGGTTTGATTAAATTAATTAATTTTAAATGATGAATGAATGAATTATTATTTATTAATGCTGAAATTAATATTATTATTCACTATTAAGTAAATTATTAACATATTTATATGCTTTTACAGGTTTTTAAACTACATTAAAAATCTATTGTTGTTTAATTTTTATATCTACACTCACTGTATAAAAATTCGATTTTTATTATTTATTTTTTAATTATTTTTATATATATATATATTCTATAATCTTTTTCATAATTTTTTTTTGTATTTATTATTTTTAATTATATTTTATATTTAAGCTTCTTCTGCTCACCAAATGTGCATTTATTTAATCAAATATACAGTACACATTGTAGAATTGTGAAATGTTATGGTACTGTAAAATAAGTGTTCAAAAGTATAATCATTTATTCCAGTCATTTATTCCAGTGATCATTTCTCCAGTATTAATCATTTATTCCAGTGATTTTAATGATAAATTTTCAGCTTTATTACTCCAGTCTTCAGTGTCACATGATGACCCCAATCATTTGACCGGCAGTATATATATATATATATCCCTAATTTTTTATATATCTTGAATTGTTTTTTTTTATTATTTATTAATATTAGTTTTAATATAAAGCTGAATAAATATTATTTCTTTTAATGTATATTTTTATACCTTATAAGTGAAACTTAATATTATTGACTAATAATGAAATATCTCTGCTATGTGGCATTGGTGAAGCTCTTTTCTGAGCCGTTCTGCTTCTGCTAATAGGAGCAGATAATTAGGTTATTCGTTTAATTCCCAAACGGCAGAAATATTACCTGCAAATGAGAATATAATCTGCCTCTGGGCTGCTCTCTTAATTACCAACTCCTCTCATTAACAGAACTCTCTGTATTGTGGTCACCGTATCAATATGTGCAGGATTATATGAAACATTCACTGACGCAGTTATGACTGGACGAGCGGCGTTTGATGTAAAATACAGACGAGAGCACAAATATTTATGCGAATGGTTTTTATTTAGTTTAGTTTTTACAGGTTTTAGTTAGTAATACATTTTGATGTACTGCAAAATCTAAATGAAAATAATAATGACATATTAGTTTGCAAGAAAACATTAAAACAGGCATGTCAAAGCTCGGTCCTGGAGGGTCGGTGTCCTGCAAAGTTTAGTTCCAACCCCAATCAGACACACCTGGGCTAGCTAATCAGGCTCTTACTAGGCTTTCTAGAAACATTCTTGCAGGTGTGTTGAGACAAGTTGGAGTTAAAATCTGCAGGACACCGGCCCTCCAGGACCGACTTTGGACACCCCTGCATTAAAACTTCAGTAATAGCAGTATAATCAGCATTTGTTGTGTGTTGCCTCATCTTGTTGAACCTCTGAATGCCTCATTAACTGTAAGTCATTTTGGACAAAAGCGTCTGCTATATGACTAAATGTAAATGAGTAAAAATAAGTAAATAAAATATGAAATATAAAATGAAAAAAAATATATATAATTTATGTGGAAATTTTTTTACTTAAACTCACCTTCATGAGTAGCTCATTTTCTTCACAAGAAGTTCCTCCCCTTATCAGTATCTCCTCTGTTTCATCAGCTCCTTCTCTTCATCAGAAGCCCCTTCTCTTCATCACTTGCTTCTCCTCTTCATCAAAAGCCCCTCCTCTTCATCACTAGCTCCTCCCCTCAATCAATAGCTCCTCCCCTTCACCAGAAGTCCCTCCCCTTCATCAGTAGCTCCTCTGCTTCATCAGCTCCTTCTCTTCATCAGAAGCCCCTCCTCTTCATCACTAGCTTTTCCTCTTTATTAACAGCTCCTCTTCATCACTAGCTCCTCCCCTTCACCAGAAGTCCCTCCCTTTCATCAGTAGCTCCTCTGCTTCATCAGTTCCTTCTCTTCATCAGAAGCCCCTCCTCTTCATCACTAGCTTCTCCTCTTTATTAACAGCTCCTCTTCATCACTAGCTCCTCCTTTCCATCAGTAGCTCCTCCCCTTCACCGGAAGTTCCTACCCTTCATCAGTCGCTCCACTGCTTCATCAGCTCCTTCTCTTCATCAGAAACCCCTCCTCTTCATCACTAGCTTCTCCTCTTTATTAATAGTTACCATATCAACTGTAGAATCTCCAAACAGATCAGTTACTATAGTTGTTGTGTTACCATAGCAACTGTAGAATCACCAAACAGATCAGTTACTAGTTGTTGTGTTACCATAGCAACTGTAGAATCTCCAAACAGATCAGTTACTATAGTTGTTGTGTTACCATAGCAACTGTAGAATCACCAAACAGATCAGTTACTAGTTGTTGTGTTACCATAGCAACTGTAGAATCTCCAAACAGATCAGTTACTATAGTTGTTGTGTTACCATAGCAACTGTAGAATCACAAAACAGATCAGTTACTATAGCTGTTGTGTTACCATAGCAACTGTAGAATCACCAAACAGATCAGTTCAAGCACTTTGCTACATTCTAAATAAATGCTGGGTTGTTGTAACCCAACATCGGGTCAGATATGGAGAAACCAACAGTTAACCCGATGTTGGGTTTGTCCATATTTGACCCAATGTTGGTTTAAAACAATCCAGTATTTGTTTTATTGAACTTCTAAACTTGAACAAAAAATTCAAACTTAAAAAAAACTGCTGAAGTGTTTTAACTCAATGTTGGGTAATATATGGTCAAATATAACCTGTTGCTTCATTTTTTATTACATTGAAATGACACCTTTAAACACAACACTTGGGTTTGTCCATGTTTTAGCCATGGTTGGGTTAAATGAGTCTAGCATTTATAGAGTGTTTATGGATCAGTGAGCTGCTCTCTATAGTGAGCTGAAGTGCTGTTTTCTATAATGATGATCTTCTGATTGTGTGTTTGAACAGGAGGTTTTGTCTGCACTGAAGAAACTCTGCGAGGAAAATCTAGAAGCTAAAGGTGAGTGAAGCGCTTCTGTCTGACTCTCAACACACACCACAGAAACATGCGGACGGGAAGTCCTTTGCTTTATTGGAAATACAAAATCTGAAAAAAAAAATGACATTAAACTTTACAAATTATGCATCAACTGTGGAAGGCTCAGCACAATAATGCCACATTCGGTCCAAAACAAAACAAAGCAAAACAAAACAAAACAACACAATAAAAAAAAATATTCAAAGTAACAAAAGTCAGCTATAAGAAAACATAAATAGACCAATATAAAACAAAACAAACCTGCAACAAATTATATATTACAAATAAATGAAACCAATTTAAGTCTTGTGTAGTTTGCATTTTACAAAGACATGTCTAAAAGGATTTAGTTCTCTTCTAAAAAAAACATAATGGAGGATTTTAAAACTTCTACATTTATGTGTAAAATATGGATGCTTTTGGTGCATGTTTGTTTTTTGTTCATGTTTTTTTGCTTATGCTTGTTTTTTGTTCATGTTTTTTTGCTCATGTTTGTTTTTTGTGCATGTTTTTGTGCATGTTTGTCTTTTTTGTTCATGTTTTTTTTGTACATTTTTTTGCACATGCTTGTTTTATATGCATGTTTTTGTACATTTGTTGTGCATGTTTTTTGCACTTGTTTGTTTTTTGGGCCTGATTTTTTGGTGTGATTTTTGTTTTCCTCCTCCATTTCAGCTCAGTATATCAGAGGTGTGTGTTGTGTTTTGTGCATGTTGAGCGTGTTCTGTGCTGAGTTTCCCGCTGAGTTCAACAGAGCTGGTTTGTCTGAATCTCAGCTCTTTCTCTGCATGCAGATGCACTGCTGCGGGTTTCAGGTTGCTTGGCAATTCTTCTGTATTCAAGCCTTAAAAGATGCAGGCTTCAGTCTGGCATAAATCAGTCAAAGAGATGCAGGTGTTTTCCCATGAGCCCCTGCGGCATTTACTAAAGCAGACGAGCAGCTGGATGCAGAATGAGGAAGATATAATCATTACACTGCGTTATAAAGATATCACTGAAGCCTTTCTGATAAACCCATCAATGCAATCTGTCATCTGACTGACAAAATGGTAAATTATTGTACAAACAGGCACCTTTGGCTGGTGTTTCACATCAGAGGTCTGACACTTCTGCATTTACACTGAGTGCCATCATTTATTAAACAAATGGATCATCATTATGCTTAAAATCCTGGACAGATTCTATAAACTTCCTCATTATTATCATCATCAGCATTAGTGGCAGCAGTAGTAGTTGTAATAATAATAATAATAATAATAATAATGATAATAATAATAATAGTAATAATAAAGTTAATAAGTTATTAGTTACATTGTAAGTTATTACTATAATGACCGGGTTTTACATAATAATTAGCATTAAAAATTATTATTATTTTTTTTATGATATTAATGATTCAATTCAATTCATCTTTATTTCTCTAGCAGTTATACAATGTAGACTGTGTCAAAACAGCTTAACATAGAAGTTCTAGTCAACTGAAACAGTGTCAGTCCAGTGTTCAGAGTTGAAGTTCAGTTCAGTGTGCTTTAATATTAGTAAACAAGCAAGCCAGTGGCGACAGGAGCGAGGAATATTATTAACAATCATTATAATTTGATTTGATTTATTTGTTTTCGATCAAAAATATCATACTTAAAATATCATTAACAAAAAATACATTTCAACATGGTCAAAAATGGAGTGAGATGAAGGACAAGCGTATTATTTTCCCACCCCATTACCACATTCGTCTATTACTTAAACTTATTTCTTCTTTTACTCATCTCTTTTTTTTACATGAGACATATTTTATCCTTTTGGCATCTTTGACATACAATATGTTTAAATCCACATTTTGTAACACAGACCCCCCCCCCACCCCCCCCAAAAAACATAGTATAGCCATTAAATAAAGTTTCATCATACCTTTCTCATTTTACCCTTTTTCAATCACCCTCATCAATATATTCCTTTAATAATATATATTTATGCAACTTTTTAAACGGATTATTATGCTGACATTGTTTGAGAGTCTGATCTAAACTGTTCCATAATTTCACACCACAGACAGACATACACACACTTTTTTAGATTGTTCTTGTTTTCAACCTCCTAAAATTTAGTTCTTCTCTCAGGTTATTTCCTCCTTGTCTTTCTTCAAAAAACTTTTGTATACATTTTGGATGTAATTTATTCCTAGCTTTAAACATAAACTGTGCTGTTTTAAATTTAACCAAATCATTGAATTTACGTATCTTTAATTTTAAAAATGAAGGATTTTTATGCTCCAAATACCCCACACCTTCCATCAGTCTGATTACTTTTTTGCATTGTACATACGGATCATAAATTAGATTTATATGTATTCCCCCAAAATTCAGCACAATAACTCATATATGGCAACATAAGTGTGTTTTATATATATATATATATATATAATTATTATTAATATTGTAATTATAATTATTATTATGATTATTATTATTGTTATTATTAATGTTATCATCATCATTATTATTATTATTAATATTATTATTATTAATATTATAATTATTATCTTTTTTGATGATAGACCATTTTGACAGTGCAGCTTTTGTTAGTCATTATAGCTGCTGATCAACTTGTTTAGACACGATCTGTTTCTATGAGCTCCAGAGCCTGCAGCCAAACTTTATACAACTGTGTGTGTGTGTGTGTGTGTGTGTGTGTGTGTGTGTGTGTGTGTGTATGCACATATGCTAGTGAAAGCATGAGAGTGTGTGTGATATTATTCAGTAAATGTGCTTCCATCGTAGTTTATGCTCATTTTTTCTATGGTATAAAGTTTACCTCAGATGTATACATATTTCATTTCAAAATTCATGTGCATCTTGGGTGCCACAGTGGCTCAGGGGTTAGCACTGTGTCCTCACAGCAAAAAGGTCACTGGTTTGAGTCCCGGCTGGGTCAGTTGGTGTTTCTGTGTGGAGTTTGCATGTTCTTTCCTCTTGGCGTGGGTTTCCTCTGGGTGTTCCGGTTTCCCCCACAGTCCAAACACATGCGCTATAGGGGAACTGATCAACTACACTGGCCGTAGTGTATGAGTGTATGAGTGTGTGTGTGAGAATAAGAGTGCATGGATGTTTCCCAATGCTGGGTTGCAGCTGGAAAGGCATCCACTGCGTAAAACATATACTGAAATAGTTAGCGGTGTATTCCACTGTGGCGAACCCTGATGAATAAAGGGACTAAGCTGAAGGAAAATGAATGAATGAATGAATGAATGTGCTTTTTGGAGTTCCATTAAGCATTTTATTATGCTCTCTTCCAAAATGTGCATGAAAAATAGATGTGTGTAAACACACTAATAAGAACAAAGGAAAGTTGTCTATTTCTGACTACACGTGTGTCATGTCGTTTAAATTGTGCATTTCTGAGTGTGCCTCACACAGGTAAGTGGGCTTTACAAACCACCTGTATAAACATCTCTCCATATGCACCAGAGACTTTACTTAAACTAATCACTTTACTTAGGTCAACAGTAAAAATGACAAATCTTCCTATTTTTAACAGGGAAACCATCAGAATGCATGATTATCTGCTGCCATGCACTGAAAAAAGTGTTGCATGCAGAGCTGTTGCAAACAATTTATTTGTGTTGAATTTAAACAAATAAATTAAGTTTAATATTCTTCAACTTAATTTGTTTGTTTAAATTGAACACAAAAAAATTGTTTACAACCACTTAACGTAAAAAAATTGAGTAAATCCAAGGAATTATCTCTGAATATTTTTTTTTCATTCTGGCTTCGCAATCAATAAATGTGATTATAATCAGGCCCGTAGCCAGCCTGGTGTAAGGGGTGGTTCTTTTTTTCTCAATAAGTGGTTCTTTTTTTTCTCAAAGAGTGGTTCTTTTTGCAGTTATACGCCTCAGTTTCTGTTTAACTATGAGATTTAAATACTGCATTTTAGTGACTTTTTTGCTGGATTAGCCAGTCAGATGTCATCATAACCACACTTTTTGATGTACTAAAAATGTTTCCTAAAAATTGCAGTAAAAAAATTCAAACAAGACTCATTTTTAAAATACAAATTTATTACATCATATGTCATTAGGAAAAAATAGCAATCTGTTAAAGTTTTAAAGTAAAAAATATATATCATTTATTAGACAAAAAACAAACTGGCCAGCACATTCAACTGTCCTCAGTCACAGTTTGGCCAGTTAAAAAAAAAAAAAAAAATTAAAACATAATAACAATAACAATAATAATTAATTCTTCAGATTTTTTCTAGCCTCTTTGGTAAAAAAAAAAGCCTTTTTCGATGGATTATTTTAATTATTTATGATGGCATAGCAGTCAAAATAGGGTGAAAATAGGACCAATAAGCTCATTTGGGACAAATGCTGGACCTTTGTCAGTGAGGGATGGGTCTTCTGAACCACCCGAACCCGAACCCCCCTGGCTACAGGTCTGAAAAGTTAGAACATGTTTTATGCTTATAGTAAACATGTTTTAATAGAATTTTGGCTGTAAATGCGCACCTACAGGTGTTTCAGACGCAGGTCAGATTTAATCATTTATTTAGCTTATATTAATTTTGTCCAAAAACTGATAATACCTATCCAGCTTCATCTGAAATGCATCCCAAATCACCCTCTGAAGTGGTTTGAGCGATCAGGTTTATATCCGATCAGAATAAGTGAGCAAACAGCCTCAAAAACACAGACGTGACGGGATTAGCGCCTGTGACATCTGACGGCAGAGGAGTCCGCTTGCCATTAAAGCCTTCATCGGGCAGTTATTTAAAAAATGTCAGAACTAGGGAAAGGGAGGTCATGTACTGGACAAGTCAATAAATATACAGGGCATCCAGGCTAATGCGGCCAGTTAGCCTAGAACCTCAGGGGCAGATTTTCATCTATTAGGAAGTCACTTACCTGTTTGCCAGTCTTTATGAACATGTTAAATATTTTGCGATAATGACGCCGCTGCCTGCCTTTTCTGTCTCCTTGC